ACATTTCCCTGTGTGTAGTTGGTCCCTAGGGTTGTCTTTATTCAGAAAGGAAGCAGTTGATACAATCACAATCTGTCTCCCCTGGACCTTTGGCAATAGTCCTGGCCAAGACCTTCTCTCACAGCTGTGAGAGGTGACCCACCCACCATCCTTCTCCAGTGACCTACCATCCTCCTCCCAGATCCACTTTCCTCCTTCTGTCCTCCTTCCCACTCATAGTTTGATCCTTACACCACTCTCACAGTTTGATCACCTCACAGTGTCATCTCATGGTGCTGGGTGAGGACGTCCTCTCCTGAGTCCTTCAGCAAGGGCCACCACCACCCCTGAATCCTTCATCAGTGGCCAGAGCCAGGCCAGTCACCCCCACTCTGCCACTCTCTGTCAACACAGGACTGCTGCTCCCAACAGAGAACCAGCATCATTAACATCTCAACTTAAGCCCTGACTATTCAAAACAACACAGCTGAATAAAATGCCTTCCCTTCTCTCTCTCGAGACACACCTACAAAGCCCACATTTCCTTTCTCTTCTGCCCTAGCCATGGAGTCCTTCACTCCAACGTACCAGCAGAGGTTAAGGTGACCCCTTCCATTAGCACATGGAGTATAGTTCACTTACACACCCATTTCCAGCCATGCCTCATAGCAATTTATCGACCCCAAACCTTCATGGCACCTTCAGACAATTGTCTCAAGGTGTCACAGAACAGACATGCAATTAACCAATATAAAAATGACATATAAATGAGGCCTGGCACCTATAGTCAGGTCCCCTTGTGCTCACCTACCAATGCCAGCAGAGGACTCCCTTCTTTTATGGGACCTTTGTCTACCTGGAGGTTTCCTGAGGAATGGTCCCTGCCCCAGCAAGCCTGCACTCGAGGTAAACAAGACAAACACTGCACAGATGGGGAAACTGAGTCACAGAGCACAGAATTGACTTGCTCAGGGGCATCCAGCTGGGCTGTTACAGAGCCCAGACTAGCAACCTGATCTCTCTTAGTGTCTGTCACATGCAGGAAGAACAGCAGTTATACTATGTGGAGGCCTGGGAGTCTGGGCAGCTGGGCTGTCACTGCCCCTGCCACTGATTCACTAAGCAATTGAAGGTAAGTCCCTGCCTTGCTCAGTTTCTCCATCTGTACAATGAGGGACAGGGGTGGGATGAGGGTAAATTCATTCAAGCTGGCAGCGGGTTTGGATGTGCTGGGTAAATGTAAGCCAGATGAGGGTGGGGGTCACAAGGTCCTGCCATCCGCTCTCTGGCCAAGGAGGACCATTGTATACCCCAGTGTGGAATCTGGACCTGAGACTCCCCCAGTGGCTCCTGGCCTAGTCCGCCATGGAGGGGGTGAAGAAGAGACCAAGACAGACAGATATTCACATCACCACTGACAGAAAGGAGTCTGATTTCATCCCCACTGTCCTTAGTAAAGGGAGTAGCCACCCCATACGACAGCACCAGGGGTCTCACTGCAGATGCAGGGACCTTTTCCATGCACCATTCCCTATGCAGACTGGGTAGGAAGCATCACCCCATTGTGGTCTGGAAATCGTAGTGCATGGAACAAAGCACTGTCCTTGCTGTATTCCTGCCTTTCAGGTGGATGGGGTGACTCAGTGGAACACAGGACTCAATGAAGTCTCTCCCATCTCCCACATGTGGCTTCTGCCATGGCCTCTGGTGACAGTGTAGAAGAGCTGGTTAATTCCACAGCACAGAGCAAGAGAGGTAGCCTACTCCAGCTATTGCCTTGGATGCTGCTACATTGAATGCTCCTGCAAGCTGCTCTGTCCCTGTCCTTAGTGGCTAGCACCAGTTGGAGTTCTCAGATGGGCCAAGATACACATTTTGGATCTGAACACATTAAGATGATGAAAATCAATTCCAATCTGAAGCATAGGAGCAATGGAGCAGAAGGGGACTGAGCATTTCCCAAACACTTGGCCATCCTGGAGTCTGAAAAGGGTGGGCAGGAAAACCGAAAGCCCAGTAGATCTGTGCTTCATGAGTACTATTTGAAGCAAGCAAGGAACAAATGGGACCATAGAAATAAACAGAGGGGGTGGAAGATGACAGGGGACCTGAGTGGGTACATCTCTCTAAAGAAATGGGTGGAAGTGCAAGGCACTTGTAGCCTGGAGTGGAAGAAAAAGGTGATTAGGCACCAGCCAACTAATAAAATTGCTCAAAAATGTTTTCGTCCAGTACTGAAGCTGGCAAGTCCCAGGCAACATCACTCAAGTCCTGCAGTCTTTGGCTTGTGCAAATGCCAGCAGCATAACTGCCCAAGGGCGCTCAGGTTCCTCCAAGCTCACTGAGCTATGGTGTCTGTTCATGTGTGCACATGGGTGCACACAGATGTGTAATCAGGATAGGCCCTTCTTCTCCTACACCTACTTTGTGTTTCATGGATGCCCTTGGGACCCACTGGGAACTGGACCCTGGTTCTGTGGGGTAATCAGTTTGGATCCACCATGGGTCTCATGGCAGCCACCAATGCTGAGAGAAGTCTGTGTGAGCATCTCATGTGGAATTCTGCCCTTGCTGGGACAAAGGAGCGAGGCCTTTGGGATGCTGGGGATAAACCCCAGATATGAGCAAAAAGTGGGGACCAGGGTGCCAGGTTGTCATTACTGGCTCCGTGCCAGTATCTGGGAGACCAGTCTGAGCACCAGAATACCTCAGGAGGGCTTGAGTGATTAAGCCAGGGGGCTTTTGAATGACATCAGAGAGATGACCTAGGGACCTTCCTCTTCAAGGTGGGATCAGCCCTGTCCAAACGATCCCAGCTCAATGTCTGTTTAACCTGCACTCAAAACTTCCAGTGACAGAGACTCCACCACCTCTCTAGGGAACCTGGAACCATCACCCTTGTTAGTGGGTTCCTATTAGAATCCAATCTAAACCTCCCTTGTTCCAGTTTAAGCCCATCACTTGCCCTGTCTCCTGGGAACAGAGAGAGAGCTGCTCACTATCCTCTTTATAACAACACTTTGACTGTTATCAAGTCCCCCCTCAGGCTTCTCCAGATGAAATCACCCCAGTCTCCCCACCTCCCCTCCTGTCTTCTACATCTCTAATCACTTCTGTTGCTCTCCTCTGGCCTCATTCCAATGATGTCTCTTGGCCAGGCCCTGGGATCTCTCCAGGGTGAGGGAAGGACAGTGTGGAGGAAGGGCTGATTTGAACCACATCCCAACAGGCACCGGTGAAAGCACCAAGAAGGCAACTGGATATGATCAGCTTCATTCATCTTCTGCTCTTTTTTCACACAGGCTTTGTCTGGGGAATGGCCTGGGCAGGAAGCCACACCCCAGCGAAGCTAACTTTAACATCACTATCTCTATATGAAACTTCCAAACACAGAAGCACAGTCCTCCTTAACATGCAGTTTAATCCCTATCGATAACCCAGAGAGGCTTATTAGTGGGTCACTTTTGTTTAAAGAGAGGGAGAGAAAAAACAGGCCCAGGGGACGTTTGATTAATGGCTGGTGTTCAGCTGAAAAGAATGGGGATGGATTGAGACACGCGTTAATGATGCCCCATTGTGGGCATCCACCATTACCCTGCTATTACCCGCTGCAAGTTTGCAAACACCATTGAAATTTCAGCAGCAGGCGCTTGAGCCGGCGAGCATGACTCCGTGGCGGGGCTGAGGAAAGCGAGCTGGCATGTATTCTGGGCAAAAGCTGGAAGGGATCAGGGACAGCAGTGCCTGGAAGGGAATCATGGCTGATATAGATGAGGGCCCCTCTCTTTTAAATGCAGGACTGCATGTTGTTCTCTACTCTTGATGGGATGTGGGTGCTTAGGGAGAAAGTCCAAATGAATAGAACCGTGCTTCTGGCTTGTGAGATCAGCCACATGTATGAGAAGGTGTGTGAAAGAAAGGGACAGGGATGGGATGTGTTTGGGTACAAGAGCGGGGTGTGTTTGTGTGTGTTTATGCATGTGAAAGGGGTATGAGAGAGAAAGGGGGTATTTACATGTTCATGTGAGTATAGGGGAGAGGTTGGTGTGTGTTTGCAGTTGTGTAGTGGTGTGTGCATGTGTGAGAGGTGTGGGGGTGTGTTTGCACATGAGAGACAGGGGGTGTATTTATGTGTGACAGAAATATGCGTGTTTGCATGTATGAGACAGAGAAAGGGCTGGGGTTGTGCATATCCAGGGTGTGGAGGAGAGGGCATAAGGCATGTGTGGATCAGAGGTGTGGTGGGTGCAGAAGTGAGAGGTCAGGGCAGGTGTCAGAGAGAAGGGTACAGCTGTGTGCTCTTGGATCTGAGATGTATGTGTGTATCAACATGGGGGCAGGCAGTGGCTGAACACAGCATGGGCAAATGCCCATGCATTCCCCCAGCCCCTAACCCTGCACAGCTGGTGGGGGACACTCCTTGGTTTTACCCCTCCCCACCCACCAGCAGGTTTTAGCTTCTGTGGGGACTGGCTACAGCAGAAGGGAGAGCCCCCACCTTGCACCTTGCCTAGCACCTGGTTTTGGCTTGGACTGCCTAGGTGTGACATGAGAGTAGGACCTCCCCCGCTGTCCCACGATGGAGCCATTGCTCCCCCTCCCCCCCCCCAATCTATTTTCTGCTGGTGGGTGAGGGCTGGGAGCTCTGCTTATTATTTTTGCAGAGTGAGCACAGATGCCTGAGCCAGATCAGGGTCCCTCTGTGACTCCCCACTCCCCCCCCCCACCAGTGCAGCCACCCTCCTGCCCCCCCCCGCATGCACACACATTCCGGGGTAGTGCGGCGCTGTCTGTCTCTCTCCCAGCCCGACTTGCCCCCGATCCCTGTGTTCCATTGTTCAGCCTGAGCGCAGCTATCTTGTTCATCTTGTCAGGAGTCTCATTTTGCAGCGAATAGGCAGATCTGTAGATTTGGAGTTGAGGGGGTTTTTTTGTGGGTTTTTATTTTATTTTATTTTATTTTTTTTTGAGTACAGAGTGACAGATGGCGAGTCCTCCTTCCCCTGAGAGACAAATCTCCCTGAATGCAGGCGCATGTCAATCACTGGCTCTCATGTGATAGCTCCTGCGGATGACGTGCCAACCATATGGCATTGGCATCAGAGCTGGTACCCCTTTGCTTGGAGATGCCACACTCTCCTCCTTTTGGATAGCACACTGAAGGAGGCTGTAGCACCTTAAGGAGCATTGCCTTACTCCCAGAAGATGCTGCGAACAATGAAATAAGAATTCCTCCAGTTAGCTTTGAAGGTAAGTTATGTAAGAAGTGCAGGGGGGTGGGGGGGGGGCAATAGAAACTTGAATGGATAAAAAGCAACTTCCATGTTGATTTTTTCCCCCCTCTCTCCTGCACAACGGGCGTATTTTTTTTTAAGTTCGGCTTTTTGCTTTTTGCTTTTTTCCGGGGGCCGAAGCTACCTAAATCTTCCTCATCGAGGATAATAGCTCTCAAATTTAAAATATAGCGAATAAACTCTCTTCCAGCTGTGATCCCATTAAGGGAGGGGGTGGGGGAATAGATCTATTTATTTACACATTTAGGGTGAAACAAAGATGAGCCTAAGATTTTTTTTTAAGGAAAAAATGTGGGGACACGGCTTAAAAATCAGAAGACTCGAGCTTTAATTTTTGCGGGTTTTTTTTTTTAATCGCGCGCGTACACACACGCACTCACTCACACACACACACACACACACACAAAGACAGAGCTAAGGAAATTGACAGGAGACCCCGCTATTCAGTCGCCGCGCTCCAGTTAAAGATTCTCGCAGGGAGATTATCTTGCAAAAATACGCCGAGATGTCTCTGCTCGTTGTAGCCGGAGGTAAATCTGACCAGGATGCAAAGTCAGTAGTTTTAAGAAGCACGTTCCTGTACCTGGAATGGCCGCGATCCAGGGTGGGGGGTTGGATATTTTTAATTCATTTGTGGGTTTTTTTAGAGGGATGGGGGGGAAAAACCCGGGGAAGCGGATGTATTTGTATTGATTTTATTTTTAGTGCCAGCCTTGGAGGGGGCTTGATCTTAAACCGCAGCTGGAGTGTGAATTACGTCTCGCTGCATAACAGCTAG